CTATTCCAAAACTACGTGAAATCTATAATTATGCCCATTAAATTAAGATAATTTAAAGATATTTGAATGTCTATTTTTTAATAATATTATTGTATTAAAATGACATTGTTTTAGTATGCTTTACGTTTTGTGCCATCACCAACAATTGTTTCTCAAATTAAATTTTATAAATTAGAATTTGAATAGTATGGAAATAAATAAATAAAACATTTAAATTTTATATTATAAATACTTTTAATTGAATGAAAATCTAAAATATTTTTAATCAAATAAATAAATAAAATTATAAAATTAAAATATCAGAAATATTAATGTAGCTTAGATAAGTATAGACCGTTGGGTGAATCAACCAACAAAATAAATGAGTAGCTAGACCGGATTAAACCAAGAGAATTAGGAAAAAATGAATTTAGTTACCATAATTAATAATATACACAAACCAAATTTTAGAAGTATCGGGATATATCGCATATGGACGAGACATGAATGGGAAATTCAAATTATTAATATACAGAAAATTAATTCTCTATAATTCAGAAAATATCGGATTTGGGACGAGAACGGATATTTAGAAAATGAAAAATACTATCCAAACTATTCTCGATAAAATCTGGGACGAGAATTATGGGTAACGGGGCGGAAACCAAAATTTCGGGTAGCTAAATTCAATTGTCAAACTCTCACTAAAATTAAATACACAAACGAAAAGTACATGAAATGCGGGTTTTTCATCAGAATTTCATACCTATTTCCTTATCCGTTGGAATAAAATATATAATCCTAAACGGATAATTAATTTTTAAAACGGTTATGAGAAGAAAGGTCTTGACATATATGGGACGGGACGGGACATGTTTTCTATCTCGAAATTGACATACCACCTTTCTCTCATTATCTTTTTTTTAGTGTAGTTGTCTCTTAGTCATAACAAAACAAATCTGATTACTCTTTTTGTCCAAACCAAATTGGAACCAAACCGGATACTAAATTGGAATATAAATATTATACCAAACACATAAGTCTATTAACATATTCCCGCACGAACGTGCGGGTCCGACTCTTATTATATTAAAGTATGGTTTTCAAAGTTAAAAACTCATACGATCGTGTCACGTGGCAAATCTATCGATCTTAGATTTTGACACGTGTAAAACAAACTTTCTTTTTTGAAAAAAATATAATTGTAAGTAATTATAAATTTAAATAATTTTAAAAATGTAAAATATAATTATAATGATAATTGTAAATAATTAATATTTCTATAAATAATTTAAAAAATTTCAAAATATAGTAATAAGGAAATTATACATTTTAATAATTAAAAATATATATTTCAATTAAACAAGGAAAAAGTCAGACAAATTTATTAAAAAGGAAACATATGTTATTATATAACTAATATTATATATCATATTATTTATTTGAATTTATTTTTTCAATTAGAAATATGAGAGATCAATTTTTTTATTTTTTTGTAATATATATTTACGTAACTATGATTGTAGTATTGTTAGATTGTTTATTTCAATTTCTCTTTTGATATTTAAATAATCAAAGATTCATATATCATCGTGTTTATAATTTTTTATTTTTAATTTAACTGTTGTATCTTTAAATTATTTATTTTGGTTTCTACGTTTTTTTTAAATTATATAAGATTTATTATATATCATAGTTCTAATGATTTTAGATAGCGACATGTGTCATGATTTAAATTAAAAATTTACATTATTTTTATAACAATTTTATTTTCTAATTAGAAATATGTGATGATTTTAAGTAAAGTTTTATATTGTTTATTTGAAATTCTTGAATATGTAAGAACCATATATGCTTCTTCTTTGTTTTTGATATTTTGAGTTTAACTATACTATTTCAAAATTGTTTATATAAATTTCTATGTTTATATTTGAATTATATAAGATTCATATATCATCGTGCTTATAATTTTTTGAATTTATCAATTTTTATTGATTGATTATAAAGTCATTGCAATTGAGTATATAGGAATCGAACCTTCAACGTTAGCTTGGAAGGCTAAGGGATTTACTCGATTTATCATCTTTATATTTATAACGTATCTAATTAAAAACTAATTTGGTTTTATTCGCCAACTTTATGATGAATATTTTTAATTTTAGTTCTTCATTTAAGTATACCATGAGTTATTGCTATGTGATATATCTTTCATTCGAAATAATTTTAAATTAATAATTTTAGTGGTTAAAGAAACAATGCAACAATGAAAAAGCAAATATTTTTTCACTTTTGAAAGAAAATTACTACTTACAAACATTGTTAATTAATTTTTTGTTAAATTTGATTTTAGTTTTAAAAAAATTAAACCCGTCCATCGGATGGTCCTTATCTAGTCTAGTATAAAGACGAAAGCGCAAAACCATGTTCGGTTAAATCACACACTTCAACAATATTGCAGCAATAAAAAGCAAGAAAAGTTTCTTCCATAATTAAAATTCTACTTCTTTCTCTTTTTCATAAAAAAAAAACTATCCATAAATTAATCTTGTATATATTAACGTGAAGATGATGAATGAACTAACAAGTGAAAGAAATTAAAGTAGTTGATGGAAAGGTAAAGAGCATGTCTAACTAGAAGAAACATAAAAGGTTTTATAACAACAAGATCGTCAAGAGACAGTAAACCTAAAATGGCGAACTCAAACAAGAGATTATTCCAAAAGGTAGCTATTATAACCGGAGGAGCAAGAGGGATCGGAGCAGCCACGGCGAGACTGTTCACGGAGAACGGTGCATATGTCATCGTTGCGGATATCCTTGAGAATGAAGGCATCCATGTCGCGGAATCCATCGGTGGGTGTTACGTTCATTGTGATGTGTCGAAGGAGGCTGACGTTGAGGCGGCAGTGGAGCTAGCTATGAGACGTAAAGGTAGACTAGACGTGATGTTCAACAACGCTGGGATGACGCTTAACGAAGGTAGTATCATGGAGATGGACGTGGACATGGTTAACAAACTTGTTTCGGTCAATGTCAATGGTGTTTTGCATGGCATCAAACATGCCGCTAAGGCCATGATCAAAGGTATATATGTATCATTATTACCTAATTAAATTCCACATTATATAAGTGTTTTAATTATGATTTTCTGTTTTATTATGATACGTTTCCGGGTTTGATTCAGATAATTCGGTCTAGCCTCTTACTGGAAAATTACGGATATTGAAAGATTACTATGTTTTGGTTTAGTGTGATACGAGGTTTCTGTTGTATATCCTTTTTGGTTACTGTTGATAGGTTTCTTGTTTTGTTTTAGGATTGATATCATTTAGATCGGTTAAACGAGATTGTGCAGCCCTAATTTTTTTATTATAAGACAACTAAGTTTAGTTAATTATGATGTATCTAAAACCGAGAAGGGGGAGGAGGAGGATCGATAATATGCACATCGAGCTCATCAGGGGTAATGGGAGGACTTGGAGGGCATGCGTATACGCTCTCCAAAGGAGCCATCAACGGGCTGGTGAGGACAACGGCATGCGAGCTTGGGTCTCACGGCATCCGTGTGAACAGCATCTCTCCTCATGGAGTTCCCACTGACATCTTGGTTAATGCGTACCGTAAGTACCTTAACAATGACAAACTCGACGTTGCTGAGGTCACCGACATTGTGGCTGAGAAAGGGAGTTTGCTTACTGGAAGAGCCGGTACTGTGGAGGACGTAGCTCAAGCAGCTTTGTTTCTTGCAAGCCAAGAATCGTCAGGGTTCATTACCGGACATAACCTGGTTGTTGATGGTGGTTACACATCTGCCACTAGTACCATGAGATTTATCTACAACTAGTTTTCGTTGGTGATTTAATCGGAAATCTTGGAGATGTTTCTTTGCAAAGAAAAAAGTTTATCTTGATTACTAACATATCAATCTTTCTTGATTTGTATATTAAAATAAATGTTTCCTAAACTACCTTGATACTATATTTGTCCCTAGTTTTATACTCTTTTTCTTAACATGAAAACCAAGTAATCCTCTTATTTCTTGTGGTTTAAGAGTAGATGTTTAGTTGTGAAGCCTAATGGCTGAATCTTCTAAACTTTAATCATGTCAAAGTCGCGATGATACGACAACATAAATTCGGTGTTCTCAAGAGATCAAGATAGGGATTAGAGAGCCATAGCCCATGGAAAGAGTTATTTTTTTCATCCTTGAAATCTAAATTTTTGAGATATATACCTACTCATCCATGCTCTTTTTAGCGGGTTTTTACATGTGGTTTTGTACAATGTTTAAGATAATTAAATCCGCTCAAATCTAGATGTTTTCAATCTATTCGATCATAGATTTAGCTTATTTCCACTTTCAACACATCTTAGGTGCAAAAGAGCGGAAATGAGCAAATATAATCTCAAATCAACGCATTGGAGTACAAAGTGACAAATCATTTGGAGATGGGAGACATGCGGTTTCGATGTTAAAAGTTCCACATGCCATAACCCAGTTGGTGACCATACGAAATAACCAAAAACCACCACACTATCAATCCAATTTCACCAACACTAAAAGTTAACCAAGAATGACAAAATTGAAGAAGTACCTTGGGAGAAACCAATACAGATGCTTCAACGACCAGTCTATGGAGGTGGCTCTGACCAAGTTTCCCCACTTTCAAGGTCCCGAAGGTCGAGCTCCTAGCTGATACTGTCACCAGTGATTCTTTAAGCTGCGTTGTCGCCATTCCTACATCCACAACCTCCAAAACTCATCTAACTCTGACAACATCAAATCTCACATATCTTCCATTTTGTTCAGTATTACCAACACTAAATCATCATCTGATCAACTAGATTACTTTCTCTGCCCAATAATTGGTAGAACTCTATATTTGGTGCGTTTTTACTGTTTTGAGTTTCTACTAGACTGGTCAGTCAGGTCATTGCAGAGTCCTGTGTCCGTAGAAGAATGCTTTTTGATTACGAAATCGAACTTTTGATACTGTCTATACAAAAGCAATATCTCAGCTTGCCGCAAAAGCAATATATTCGAATCTCACCATTCCCATTTATGTGTATAACAAAGCTAGATAGACAAGAACCCAATAACATAACTGACCAATGGAAAAATTCCTCTTTGTGAGTGCAAATACAATTTAATCTGACTGTGATCTGCTTTGGTTTCCAAATTCCTCTGTATATGTACAAACTCCAACGAAACAAATTTGTTGCAGAGGCCAAACCCATGTCTCTTGTTGGTCAGATCTCGTAGTCTATATCTGTTGCATTCTGGGAATCAGATTGCTTCACCAACCGTTCCTGCTCATCATACCTATCAAGGTTCTCACACGGAGCTGGGAAGATGGTGCCTATCACACGCCCCTCCACGTACGCACACTGAAATATGTGCTTTTTCTTGTACGTTATCCCCACTGACATGTCCCTGAAGGTTACATTTTTAACCGGAATCTCTTTGCTTCCTTGGATACGCACTGGTACACGCACTCCTTGACCGTAAATCCCGGTGTAGTTTATGTTTTCGAGTATCGGGAAAGCTTGGGGATTGAATCCACCATCTGGGTGCTCGTTGTAGTCCGTTTTAATGACAATGCCAACTCTCAATTCATCCAATGTGACATTCCGGAATGTTATATCCCGGACATACCCACCTCGTCCTGGTGCGGTTTTAATCCTAACTCCACGCCGGGAGCTCCAAATCAGAATATTCTCGACTGTGATATTTGAGACACCACCAGACATCTCACTTCCTATTGATATACCAGCGCTGTGTTTGCACAGAGGCTTTAGGTACACATCGCTAATTAGATCAATATTGATTAGGGAAAGCAATTCTCTCTTACCTAACCATGGAGCGGATGATGAGGTTGCGGATGAGTATGTTCTTTGACGGTCGTCCATAGGTAGTTCCATACTGATCCCAACCGCTCTTTATTGCGATTCCATCATCCCCAACGCTGATGTAAGAGTTCTCAATTAACATGTCCTCACACGAATCTGATTGACAACAAAAAGATATTAGCCACCATTAAAGCCAAGTAATGTACACAGATCACCCAAGCCCATACTCTGACCTGATTATTATCAATAAGATTATATGTTATGTCCCATTAGGTACCATATGGTTATATGGAACGTTCAGATACAATGAAAGGAGCTGTGTTGCTCTTAATCATTTGAAATTCCTGAAGGCTAAATATACTAGTCGATAGAATCCTAGTTGCAAGTAGGGAACTAAGGTTGGTTCGCTCTTTTGTTTCATTGATCTTATAGCTTAGAGGCCTAGTGGTATCATCACTATTAATTACACCCATCTCGCAGCTCTAGCCATCTAGACTGTTTCTGTTTGGTTATTATATGTATCACATGAGCTTCAGGTACCTAATTCCTTTGTTAAATATCTGAGTTGCAACGTCCTGCCAAAGTGAGAATTACTTACCAGGATCGATACCATCAGTGTTTGGGGCTTCAAACACAGGCGCCAAAATGGTCATATTGGTGATTGTGACATTTTTGCAGTCATATGGGTGAAGCGTCCAAAATGGTGAATCACGCAAAGTGATATTGGCAAAAACAATGTCACTTGACCACATTATCTGCACCAGGGGTCCCCTCGTGTGGTTAAGCAGCTTTTGGCGATACTTCTTCCACCACGTTTGCCCCTGCCCGTTGATGCTACCATTATTCCCTGTTTTCCATCATAAATTAGCCAACTATCATACAGTTGACAGAATAAACGCCCAGATTTGGCAAAGAAAAGACTATTAGCCACATAAGTTGAGTAATATGTGTGGACTGAAAAGAAGGCTTTGATTATCAAATACATGAAATTAGTCAATTTTTGTCCCGAGACTACACTTAAAGCCCTTGTCCAGTCCAGCTAAGAGAGACATAACAACCTTCAACCAGCTTATAGAGTTATCATCTTTAGATTTCGTTTTTGCCTAGAAATGACTCATCTCAATTCAACTAGAGCTTAAACAGTAGAGTTGTGATTCCACATCTAAATAGCCCTAATACATGAAAAGCCCTCATTTCAGCCACTCTCTAAAAATCTTAACGAGGACAATGCAAGCACACTCTTAACAATAATCGAGTCAGGAAACATTACATGCATCCACAAGAAGAGTCACACATTTGAAACTCAGTTATTACGACAGAAAACAGTCCCCACAAGCAAAATTCACAAACCAATCGACTAACCTGTGACAACAACATCTCTAAGATTCTGTCCATGAATGAAACTCCCATAACGAGGTCCATGATGCTCTCTTCCATAACCATATGAAGGTAAAGGAGGAAGTAAAGGCCAATACTTTTCATCCTAAATACGTTAACATAACAACCAATCTTTAATGAATATAACAACAAAAACATAAACTGCCTCAAGTTAAGCTTCTTGGAATCTATAAAACCAATTCAATAATCTGAGTGCTAAAGTCACCAAAATCTCTCAAAAAATCTAATTTTGCATAAACCCCTTTCAGGATAACAAACTCTGCAATAAAAAAAAACTCATCTTCGCCTAAAAAAACTCCGAAAATCAAACAAATTCTTAACTAGATCTCTTCATAATCAACAACAATTCCAAACATATAGATCAAAATTCAAATTAGAAATCAGAGCAAACAAACCTGGAGAGCGAGAATCTCGGCGTTCTCGGCGAGGAAAAGAGTCATATAACTAGTGAGATTAAACGGAGCAGTGAGCCAACGACCAGGAGGAACATTAAGCTGACCACCTCCTTTCTTAGCAAGCTTTGAGATCTTATAAATAGCTCTCTCGAAAGCCTCAGTGTTGACTGTGACACCATCACCAACGGCACCAAAGTCTGTTAAATTGAAAACTACAGGTCTGAGCTTGGGAAATTCTCCGGAGGCTGCGGTGGTTGTTGTTGTTGTTGTTGAAGACGACCAGAAAACGGAGAAACCAGTGTAGAGATTTGTAGAAACGCCGCCGAATTGCCAGATGAATAAGGAAGCGAAAGTGGCGATCCAGAAAACAGTGACGAGAGATTTGTGGGAAGAGAGGAAACGTCTAGGGAGAGGATCTACCATGGCTTTTGGATTCAGAAGAACATTTGGAGGATTTTTAGATTAAGATCTTTTGAGAGATTTGGTGAGATGTTATGAATCAGGATTTGTTGTGTGTTGCGAGATTTGAGTGAATCTTAAGGGAAACACAAACGTTGTGTGTTTGTTTAATTGTGTGTTTGTTGAAACTAACGTCTAAGAGAAAGCGATTGAGTAAGAGAAGTGTTTGTTGATGAAAGGAGAAACAATGATTCCTTTTTCGCAGACGGAGATACGGGTTCAAAAAAAACTTAAACCGGAAAAAATAGAAAATAGTTAAATTGAAATCAAACCGAGCTGAACCGAAATATATATATTTTATTTGTTTGATATTTTTTAAGAGAAATTGTTTGTTATAACACCTAATTTATGGACACAATTAACACCCAAAACTTAAACTTTTAGAAATTGCATTATTCTTAGGTATTATTTACTATATTTCTCTATAATTTATTATACTAGATAGTGTACCCGCGCGTTGCGCGGAATTTAATTTTAAACTTTTATTCTTTGAGTATAAATATAATAAATTGAATTTTAAAAGATTTTACTTTAATTCATGTGCATTATCTTTCCAAAGTAGTAAAAAGTTTCTCACATTTTTTACTACAATTTTTCTCGTTTTCTTTTATGATTCACTCGTCGTCTCCCGACATCTATTATCTTTTCTCCTTAGATCGTTTCTATTTTTTCTCCTTCATATCATTCAATACTCAAATTTTTTAATAAGTTTCATGATCTTTTTATTAAAGTAAACATTAGAAAAGAAATCTGAGGAGATGTTTGTTATAAGATGTTTTTTTACCATGTTTTGGTGCATCTAAAATTGCTTTATAGAAAACAAATCTCATATATGGACTCATTTCTATTCACAAATATAGAATTTCAACGTGAAATTTTGCATTTTATCTTGACCATCTGAAAAATACAAAAATCTCTTTCTACATATATAATTTAACATATATTATGATTTTAGATAGTATTCTTAATGTTGATTTTTATAAAATGTGACACTTACGAACTCATAAAAATTATTCTAATTTTAAAATACATTTATTTAGAAAAACAAAACAAAATCATTTTTATTTCTAATGAAAAACTCTTCAATCTACCATTACTATATATAGATTTCCAAATAACATTCTCAAATATTATTATTACATAGTTTTATTATTCGATAAGATTATTTTATTTTTATTTGTGATGTTTAGGATAGTTTTTATTTTATTTCAAATCACCCTTAGTTTGTTTCAATCTATGTGAATTTCCTAAAAACACTGATTAAAATTTAGTTTTTCTTCTTTAGGTATTCACTTTTTTATTTAGAAAACATTTATAATATAGAAAATTTATTAATTTGACTACTTATATAATTATAAATAATAATATGTTCTAAATTCTTCTTATTTTTTAATCGGTACTCAAATTTTAAATGTCTATTTTTCAGAAATGAATTAATTTCTATTTTAAGTAAAAATCTTTAAATTTGGTATTTTTAACTCTTATTTCCTTTTCTCTACTTAATAATGGCAACTCTTAAAAAATAAATTTTGTACCATTAAAATATATGATAAGTTTCTTTTTCGTGTCTCTAACTATTTTAAAATATTTACTCATTACATGTTAAAATATAATGATCTAATTTATATATATTCAATAACTATTCAAAAATTTCATATTTTAAGTTGTATATTTATTTTTTTCGTTTTTCATAATATTTCATTTAATTTTTGTCAATTATTGTTTTTATTTAATGTGTGAATTAGTTTAGTTTTAATGTTTTTGTTTTAATGAATAAAATATGTGGAGTCCACAAAAAAATAAATTATGATGACATGGATGCTGATGTGGACACGTTAGATGGAGAGAAATTCTCCCATTATATATATAGATTTCCGCCAAAATTTATTTTTTCCGCAAAAATTTTCCATTAAAATAAATTTAGGTCAAAATTTTCCTGCCAAAATTTTTTTCACGAAATTTAGGAATAATTTCTTGAACTTCGGGAATGATTCCTTGAATTTTAGGATGATTTTCACAAAAACACGACATACAGACTACTTTATTATTGAACATTCGTTCTTGTGTGTAGTACTAGAATGTGTAACCAGTAAACTAAATTTTTCATTCCAAAGAAGTGTAACAATAAATATAATATAGGTGAAACACAAAGCTGCATATTGCTAAACACTAGGGTGTGCACAAAATGAAATCATTACAATTAATGATTAATCTTTGACATATTAGACAAAACACCGACAAAAAAGTTTTAGAAACACATTTATTTAAATGTAGGAAGGATTCAGCATTTAGGAAAGATTCAATAGTATTCAGGATGGCTTTCATAAATGTTTATGAAGGTATTCCTAAATTTAGGAAAGATTCAACCGTATTCAGGAATCCTTTCGAACGTTCTAGGAATTCTTCTTGAATTTCGTGAAATCCTTCCTTAATTTCGTGAAAAAAAATTGGCGAGAAAATTTTACTTTTTATTCATTATTTTAATTAGATCAATAATTTATATTTAAGGTTTGATTAAAGTTTAGGATGTTATTTGTGAAACTTTGTATATGTGATGTTATATTGGAAAAAAAAACATAATTTAGTTCTATTTTTTCAACTACCCTTTTTTAAATTGCTTTAAAAAAGAAAAGAAATTGTATTGTATAACCAACAAGAAAACTATAATTAAATGCTAAAAACTATAGAATGAAAATTTCATTTGTTAATCACAAAGTGTAATTAAATTTTGTGATTTTCTTTTAAGGTAACGGCCTTTGGATTAGATTTTGCTAGTGTCGTCAACAAGTTCATTTCGCACGTGCCTTGCTTGACAAATAATTTTTTTTTGGTATATTAGATATTTCCACGTGGGATTCGTATATACATTGCAAGAGAGGAGCTTATAAGTAGGCCTAAGATTTATATCCGTTATTTATGGATATCCGTATGACCATATCAGTATCCGGTTTTTGATCCGAAAAACAGATATCCGGCAAACGGATATGAATACGAATAGTAAAATGACGGATATCCCGAATACGGATACGGATACGAATAATGCTAAAATTTGGGCCGGATAACGGATATTCGGGGTATGTCTGGGCCCATATATGATTTTGTAACTTAAAGGCCATAAGTGTTAAAGCCCAAAAAAACGTGTAAGGTCAATTTTTTTAATTATTTTTATTTTATTTTCAATGTTAATTAATAAATTCTATGACAAACAAAAAAAAAAATTCTAAGAAAAATTTAAGAAATTGATTAAGGTCTTTTTTTAAAAGAACATCACTTGAATCTTTTGAACTTTTTGCTACTTCAATAAATTCCTTATTTTTGTAATGTTTTGTATTTTTAATCAACTTCTACCTATTTTCTAAACTTTTAAAGCCTTTTTTTATGTATGATATTAATGAATTTAGGATTTTTAACGAATATCCGATACCGGATATCTGGAATTTCCGAATACGGATACGAATACTATATTAGCAGATAATGCGGACACAGATACGGACACAAATATTTTAAAAAAGCCGCATATCCGCTCCGTTTACAGGCCTACTTATCAGCACCAAAATCTAAGCATTGGCAGACAAAAATGGTTTGACCATAATTAAGGAGCATAATTGATGATGAGATTATGATAGTATGATGATGATTATGATATGATAGTATGATGATTATGATGATGATAGTATGACGATGGTATGATGATATGCTTATGATGATATTATGATGATGAGATAATAGATCATGACAATGGTAGTATGATGATGGTGTTCCGATGATGATGCGATGATTACCCCGTTTATGATTGTGATCAATAGAAAAATAACATTTTAGTTTATTGTATTTATAAAATTATATATTGATAACCATCATACATTTGACATATCAATCAATTGTAGTAAAAATCTTCAACATGTTAGAATTATAAGGTCGGATTGGTGTTGTCGAATAAATAGCGTAACTTTTATATTTGATTAATAGTTTTAATAAGGTTTAATGTTTTCTTAATTGTTTCAACATTTTAAGTTTTTTTAAAAAAATAATTTAAATATAAATACATCCGGGAATGATAAAAGTCAAGATAAAAAAAAACTATCCCTTGCATAGATTAGGCAGAGATGAAATGTGAGTGGTAAGAATGGAATGGTTGATCCCCGGATGCTCTTCTGACAAACTCTGTCTTGCATCTTGGTTATAAAACTGTACACAAAACAGCTAGTTAGAAAAGATTAAATTAGCTATTTAAAAAAGTGAAGCATTATGTCACTTATCTTGATGCTTCTATTTTGTTCATCATTATGTTTCTTCCTCTGTTAAAACATGCTCTTCCATGTATTCCCAAACGTTGTTGAACTAATGATCATCATTACGGTACATCGTGTTTCTTCAACAACAGTAAGGCGATTGTTGAAGTAATGATCATTATCCACGTTCAAAAGATATTCCCCATTTATAAGAACATTAAAAAACACGGATCTGCCGAGTGTAAGAAAAGCTTGATTAGTGGAAAATAGTACTCAGCTGCTAGCTAGTGTCATAAAACAAAAAGCGGAGATTAGAAAATGGAAAGATAAAAAAATCAGGGCATTCATAGGCGCTCCAACCTTCTTGTGGTGCTAAAATTGATGCAGTGTCTCATATATGATTTACTTTGGGCATTCTCATTAGTGTTTTAGGGTTGTGATCCGTTTGGATGAATATAGCTTGTTTTTGTGTTTTCATTGCTAACTTTTTGTGAAAAGATTAGGAACACGAGTTTTGGTGTTTATCACTTTCTTATTTTTAGGTTCGACCTTGTCATTAGGCGTTGTTATGAAAACGGACAAATCATCGATGCATTTTTTTCAGTTTTTGGATTTAATAAAGAAACTGAGAGCTCCACTCAAAACTTACCTTGACGTCTAAGCAGATGCAATAGTTAGCCAAATATGAGAAGTAAAACAAACAGAAGAGTGTACCTGAATTATTATCACAGGATGGTCTCTAGAGTTGTTACTAGGTTAGGGATCAAT